ATAGCCCATTCTCGGCTACCTTTGTTATATATACACGCTACTCTTAATGTTTAAGCTGAAATTGAGATCCAAATCGCGCAACGACGAGTGAAAAGGCCGTAACAGATTTTGAAAGCCTGGTGTTTGGGCAATCTAAAGAAGCTGCTGCTGAAAAGCCACAGATGAAGTTATTTTCCAACGAATCTGCCAGCCCACGCCCAAAAGTCGAGCAAGTGCAGCGCCAGCACCCGATCCTCTATCCTCTCCTATCCTACACATTCGACTCCAGTTCACTCCAGTTCCGAACCCAATCCGAGTCCCAATCCCAGTTTTATGCTGCACCGCTTGGTATCCAATTGCAACATAATTAAGTAAGCCAAATGGCAGGCCTGGCTCGCTCTCCTTCTGGCCAAGTTAGCATGCTTATCTGCTGCACTCAGGAAAATTCCCTTCCCTTTTTTTTAATAAATCATTCAGAAAATTGTATGTCTCAGCTTCTGCTTTTTGGACTGTGATTTCAATTATATCAGCTTGATTGATGATTCAGAATCAGAAGATATGACTTCATATAGAAATAGAAAAAAAACTGATAAAATATAAACTTAAAATTTCCAAGAAGCATTAGCTTAAAAAAATGTTTATGAGACATTTGTTTTGTAATTTCAACTAATCTAAACTAATTGAAATTTTCTGGAAGTGTAGAGCATGTATGGCTGGAATTTTGTGCGTCATGTATTGGCCTGACTTTAAGATCGTGCTCGTGTGTGGCGCTTGGAGTTTTGTTGTCTTTTGTATTTCTGTACTGGCTGGCAAGACAAAAGCACTGCAAAGACAGCGTCACCAGCCACCACCATCATGACCCCCCCGGATCCCTCCACGAACGGGTTTCCATGTAATCTGTCCGGTGTTCAGGGAACAGCTTTTTAGTCTCCATCTCGGGCTCAGTCGCAATCCCCCCCAGCATTGCATTAACCCAATTTTCAACTTGAGATGCGAAGCTGCGTGATTTGCAAATTACCGCCAAGCCGATGCAGTCCCATTGTGACCGAGCTGTCCAGCTGTCCATCTGACCAGTGTCCACTGTCCACAGTCTACTGTCCAATTCATGTTACGAGTGACTTACTCATGTTTATATGAAAAACTCACTAATTGCATGGCGTGGACAGCGCTGCAGACAATAGGCATAAATTTGGACCATGAAAAGTGATTTGCATATTCATTTCATAAATTTTATTTATACTTTATGATCGAGCTTGAGGTGTGATAAATATTTCGGTAAAGTTTGCAAGAAACTAGGAAACTGCATTATTGTTTCTTTAAAGACTTTTTTTATTTACTTTATAATTAAGACAACATTTAGTAAAGAAATTGAAACTGAAGTAGTAGTACAAGCTTATTCCTTATTTCCCAATTTGCTTCTCCTTTTCATTTCTAAATAGGAAATCATGAACAGATTTCCCTTCTACCCAAATGCCGCCTTGACTGATACATTAATTACTTTGGAGCTTATTTGAATAGGTTTCCCCATCGTGAGGTAAATAACTCAAGTGGTAAAGTGATACTCAAACAAATACTCTGCATGCCACACGCTTGAGGGAAAGTATAACAAATATTATTGTCAGACCTTTGACCCAAATAGGTTGTGACAATTCCAGAGATACAAAACCTAAGGTTCCCAGCCTGACACTGACCATGACTAATGGCGGGAATCGGGGTCACCAATTTGTGCTGGCAGCCGTAAACCTCTACATAACAAGGTTTCCCATAAGGGTTCATAAAGTTGCCAACGACTCGAATGAGAAATCCATCTTAATTAAAACGAATATTGAGATGGCAAATCAACGATTTGCATTTGTCAAGCAATTTGTTCAATTGATGTCGTATCAAGACGTCGTGTTCTTCGCTGATTTTTGATGAGCACGTGTACAAGTTGTTGGCCAGAGTGGGAGTAAACCGAGTTTCCCCCTCATGGATCCCGAGAAAAACTCATTAAACGAGCTTCTGCCTGGGCCAAGGTTTCCTGGCCCGATGGCATGACTTGGACTTCAGATAAGACCAAAGCTTATGGCTTCAACTCCAGCTACAGCTCCAGCTCCAGAGCCAACTTTAAGAGTTTTCAAGATTTTTTTTCTTTTTCTTTTTTTGCTGGGCACGCGTAGGCGTAGCCATTGAGCACAATGCTTCACGGTGCAAAATGTTAACGAATTTTCACAGGCCCAGCCGCATTCTAAGTGCAGTTTTTCCAAGCGCAGCATATCAAATCATTCGTCACTCGCCCCCCCAATTTCCCCCTCTTTTGTGTCCATAATTATCGCAGAAAAGGAGTTTGGGTTTCGGAGCCAAAGTCGATTGTTGACAAGCAATTTGCAGGCGGCGGCGGTCTTGAGCCCTGACTTCCCATCCAGCTGCGAATGGGCCTACGTTTAAGCCATGCACTTGGAAAAATAATATATTTTTTGATTCTAAACTAAACTAGAACTGTTCACAACAAAAATCATTTAGCATTTAACATTTCTAATACAGAAAACCTCTATATTTCTTCCAGTGCAGTCTGCGGCTTTGTCTGGGGTCACCGTGCTGCTAGGAGTGCACATAACTCCGCGCTGGCTCTTGTCTCATTTGATTGTGCATTTGCCAATTGTTGCTTTTGGCTTTTATTGCTGTGGCTGATTGAAGTCAAGGCCCTGCTTTGTTTTCGATTTTTGTGCACCGGGCTATTGGAGATATCTACAAGATATGTACTTGCAGTGCCCCCAAACCGAGTTGCAAGTGGCATTTAAGCGAGACACGCCCACTGGAGTATGTGTACCCTCTCTGATTCAACACCTCCTTGCTTTGATAGAGTCCGGAATCTATAATTAATTCATTGGCTCGCGTTTCAGATCACTCCCGATCGATGGCGCAACTAGGCAGTCAAATCAAAAGTCAATCAATACGAGCAGCTCTGCCCCGATAGTAAAACAAAAAAGAAAAACGAAACAAAAAAACAGACATCAATCAAGTGTCGGACACATGCAACTGCAACTGCCACGGCAGCAGCAACAACAAATTGGCCAAAACATGCACAGTGCAGACATCAATTGAATTTATCAAACAGAAGCCAAAACACTGGACTCGTACATTCAACAAATTTCGATTGGTTCAAATGTTTTGGCTTTTGCATATAGAGTTACAACACGGCCGGGATAATTAAAAACTTAATTTCCTTGGACGCGGGTTAACTCGATGCACAGAGAAAAAAGGGGAATGCAGCAGTAACTTTACTTAAAAAATGCTCATCAAAACTTCATTTAATTTCAAAGTTTGAATCTTTTAGAAGTTATAAGCCAGCTAGCAGCTTGAAAAGTTATTAAACTCATTTTCTTTCAGTGCTTCTATAGCCAAAGGAGCGGAAAACGACTTAAGTTCACTTTTATCCGCAAATCGCCGCGTATGACGCTGATTAACACGGAGTCTGCAACCGCAATTGAAACGTTGCACTGGCCATTAACCAGGTTCGATCGGTGGCAAGAGGGGGATTTATGTGCTGATGGCGGCGTGTGAATATCTTCGAGCGAAGCCAATCCGTACCAAAAGTCATTTCCATATGCTCTGTTGCAACTTGCAACTTGCCACTTGCAGTTGCAGTTAAAGTATCTTGCCGTTGCACGTGCAGCGCTTAAATAAATAGAAAAAAACAAATGGGCAAGGCAGCAGCGCCTACGTATTGAGGCAATCACAGTTGAAATTGATGGCAGGAAAATAGAAGATTTGCACAATCGATACACTGAGCGAAATAAAAAGAAAAAAGAGCATAATAGGTAGACTTGCAACTTGCTGGTTGCCTTACCTAGACTTTAATTTAGATTTATAATTGCCAGAAGTCTAGACAAATTAATACATTTTTGATAAATATCTAGTGTGACATTTTAATTTATTAAAAGTATCTCAACGTATGTGGCGCCGCATTTTTTGTGCCACTGTGCAGGTGACTGATGATGCAGGCTCTGTGTTTTTGCCTTGTGGCGTGATTTTGGCAGTTACCGCATAAATCAAAAAGTGTCATAATTTGCAACTGCACCACCAGCACCGCGTTGCTCGTGTCGATGTTGAGATGTAAGCTCTCAGATTGCGCATACGCGGGGTAGACCCACATGCCGTGGATTGCAGTTGGGATGCCTTTGCCCTTAAGTAGAGTCGCATTAATTCCAATTAGAAAACATCGCACTGGCACTGGCAATTGAAAACTCGTTAAAGTTCATTACCTTAAAGCGGCAGCAGAGACAACGACTGCCTTATTCGAGTCAATGCCACCACGATCTTGGCCAAAGGAAAGAGGGCGAAGACAAGCCATATCTAACTGAAGATCTGCTTGTTACACTTAAGGAGCTGCAATTGCAATTGTTTCGAGCACACAAGTGCGCGCCCATTGATTCGCTGCAATTGACACACGACAATTGAAGTGCTGGCTTGGAAAAATCTGAAATCGAAAAAAAATCACGGCCACTTGGCCTTGGGGCTAATTTCCAGCCAGTAGTTGGCTGGCATTTGGTAAGGGGACTGGTCTTACTGGGCATGAAATTAGCCACGAAGCGCAGCTGCTGACATTGAAAACGCGGCATGTCATAATATTCAAAATAATTTATGTGCGATGCGATAAGCCGCAGATCTTGGGCCAAAGGTAAGTCTGGCCTGGCTTTTCGGGCCATATTTATGGCTGCATCAACCTTGAACCGGTGCCGGACTCTCAACCTCTGATAAATGCAATCGGACACGCCCCGCCCAAAAGATCGCTACTCACATCCACCTTCATCTTTATCTATCCCATGGGTGGGTCCCAAAATCATTTTTCTTCTTCCATAGCTCAATGAACCGAAGATTGCAAGGTTATCGTTTGGATTTAGCATGGGTTTTTGGAGCCGTTTAATTGGTTAATTTAGATAAATTATTGCATATCTTAAGAGCTTCTGTTACAGCAGCAGGTTTAGATATTTATCTTTTAAGTTCACAGGTCATCTAAGTATCGTACATAATCCTCTTACCTTTCCATTTCCTTGGGATCTGTGGGATAACCTCGACTAATGGTGTTCGTCTCGAAAGGATTCTCGGTGGTAAAAGTGTTTACTGGAGCAGCTGTTGTGGTGGTATAAGCATAGCCCCTTCTGGCCGGAACAAGCGGCGGAATGGTGCCCAGGTTGAAGCCAGGACTCGTAGATCTTCTATTCAGATTCGTTGGTGGTGCTGAGGTGGTTACCGTGATCGATGGCACAAAGGAGAAACCTCTGCCATGCTCCCGATTGCCAATAAACTCCACATCCTGGGTGTTGTCCTCGCCCTTTCCAAGTCGCGGAGACGATGGCATCGGCGGTGGAGGAGGACCGTAAGTGTTGGTGAGGATATTATAAGTGTTATAATCCCATTCGGTGGGGGGTCGTGACTGGTGTAGGCGTCTGGTCTGCACTTTATTATAGGGATTATGTGGCTGGACCCGCCTTAGTCTGGTGACGTCATGCATGGTGACCCCAGGCAGTAGCTCCACATCAGATTTGACTTGACTCAACGACTGTAATCTTCGCTGCTGCCTCTGATGGCTTGGTAAGAAGTTTCCCTGATGACGAGTTCGATGGCTATGACCATGTCCTCGATGAGTTCGATTCTGATGAGGAATTGTGCTATTAAAGCTACCATTCTGGACACCTGATACCGCTGTTCCCAGCAGCAGGACTGTGCAGCAGAGCAGCAGAAAATAGGTGGAGTTAATCATTTCTGGCATTTTGATGATGATGATGATGATGTCCCGCTATCTCAATTCGCTTGATGGAACTGCAAGTATAAAAAAAAGTATATAAGCGTGACTTTATTAAGTGCTGAACTTGTTTCTTCATTACGAAGTCCCCATCCTCCCTTTCAATCACATTCACTTTCGTTCTCATTCAAATTCCTAGGCATTTTGCACGCCTCACTTAATGTAAGCAACAAGACGGATCCACCGCTTCTCATTACCGATTCCTTTGTCTGACAGAGCGCCGACCTGTCTGTCCATCATCGGGTAATTGAAAGGTAGCATAAATGTATTAACTAGAGTCTAGACGATGCCACAGGATCAGCAAGAAACTGAGGTACACTTGGCTGGTAGAAATAGGATTGATTAGTAACTACAGGAATCATAACACATTCCACCAATCTTTTGTTATCTATTAAAATCATTCAAAGAAAATGAGTACACACTTATGAGTCTTGAAAAGGCATCATACCATTGGTTTTAAGGAAGTAATATACTTTTTCGAACCCAGTTCTTGATGGGGCCAACGGTTTTCATGGTCGAGTGGTCAACACTTCCAAGTACGGTTCGAACTTTTTAGCCCAGAGACAAAGGCAATTTGTTCAGCAGACTCGACGGTGATGATGACGGTGACTGTGATTATTATTCTCGTTTTTTTTTTTTCCATTATGTTTTTTTTTTTTTGAGGCTGATAAATCACACGTTAAACAAAAAGAAAAGTAAACGCGTTAACAGTTAACCGGCAGGAGATGCCAAAACGTGAAGCAAAGTGGAGTGAACCGAAGCCGGAAGCGAAAAGTGCATCAATTTTGGCTTTGTTCAGGGGCATTTCTCAAAAATTTCACGCACTGTGGAGCAGTGGCATCTCATTTGTCAATGGACAAGGCACCAACAGCCTGCACCACAGTCACCCGCACCACCCTAAACTCACCATAAAAAAACCCATTATTGCAATTGCTCAGTGAGCTTATTAATATTCATTGCTTCCACTTGAATTTATGATTCCAAACGCCCAACTCATTAAAGTGGATCTAACATATGTCCAATCTTGTTTTTTAATTTCGAAAACAATTATACACTGTTGAGAAATGTGCTGAATAATATTTTCAAATCTAATTCCTTGTCATATTCAGATTTCTTTGAATTTTTATTAATATATGATTAATTAGGCAAGTTATTGCTTAAACTTGCAAAGAAACTTTAGGATTACATATTATTTATTAACAATAAGTTCATTTCAAATTTTATGTATATATTTTATCTCAGTGTACTTGCAATGGAAAAACTCCCAAGAACTTTCGATGGGTTCGAATGACAGCAAGCCCGAGTCTTCCTCATTAACATTTGCTGCGCTAATTAAAAAACAGCAGCCGAAGTTTGAAAATTGAGAAATTGTAAGCAAGTAAGTTGGGGAAATGTGCCACATCTGACCCTTTTCTCAGATGCATCTTACGAAAGGGAAAAGAGCCGTGGGCAGGGGGCAGGGGGCAGTATCAATCAGGTGTGGTTTTAAGCCTCTTAGTAAGTGAAACCCTGGAGCCCCTTGGGCTCGACTGCCACTCAAATGACTGCCAAATGTCAGACCCTACCCCCAACCAGTTGTCATAACTCTGCAAAAGTTCCAAGAAATGCAAAAATGTTAAGGAAAAAAAGATGGTAAAAAGGTTTTTCGGGCGCCGCCACAAATTCAATCGAGACTGCAGACAGACAAAGGGAAAAAATTTAAGAAAAAAAATAAAAATAAGCCAAAGAGATGAAGAAATCCAAGTGGAGGGAAAAACAACTTGATTCCGGTGAAATCTAAGCCGCGTTGACAACTCGCCTTGACCTTGCTGGATTGCCAAAAACGGTCAGTCCGGAGATAAATCAAATCGCGCGGCGTTTGTTTCTGAAACCGAAAAGGTGGAGATGGATCCATAGATATATATATATATATATACTCATAAGGCCAGCCCACAACCGATTGGCGGCTATATTTTGATATATTTCTAATTAATAGCTGGCATTGCCTTAAGAATTATTTATAAATCAACGTTCGGGTTGCGGTTGCAGTTTAGCTGGAATTTATGCAAAGGCTGCCATAAATTTTCTTCCTTTTTTTCCAAACGTTGTATGCTGTGGGTCTCGAAATTAGTGTGTGTGTGTTAAATGTTATTGATTTGTTTTCCCAGCACATAAATCACTGGCTAAATACTGCCAGAGGCGCGGACAGAGTAGGGGAACCGGGAAAGTGTCAACTTTATTTTTGTCACCCTGACAAGACACGGATTCGGTGGGAGTATCCCTAGCTGAAAACTATATATATATCTGTATCTGCATCTGCTACTGTGAGATGACCCAGACATGAGCTATGGCCAATGAATCACCAGAGATGCGTAGCAAGAAACATATATAAAGAAATTTAGGATGATGTGGTATACGGTGAGGTCTAGATATGAGGTAATCTAATCTTGAGCTTCAAGAAACATTGAATCAGTTTTCAGCGGAAGAATCAAAAGATTAGGCAAACAAAGTTAAACATATAAACTTTTTACTTTAAAAACAAACATATAATAAATAAAAAATATATAAGATAAATTTAAATAAAGTTTAATATCTGTCCATCTTATCGAATACCTCCTTTTACTGACTCTCCCCAGAAACATAGCTCCTGTCTCGTTTTCATTTGACATGTTTTGGCTGTCATGGGAAATAGTTGCTGGCTGAAGAATGACACGAAAATGGGGGAAAACGGCCCCATGTCGTATGCTTAATAAAAGTTTTTGCATTTCAAAATTAATCATGCCCGGAGGCATGACTAAAACTGCACCAATTACTTAATTAACGCGAGCATTATGGAAATTTTAATGTTATTTTGGGATGTTCTTCGGTTCTCAAATCTGTTTACTTCTGCTCAATGGCGTGTAAATTGATCATCTTTCGAAGTTCGAAGTTATTTCAGAAGGTAATTTAAATTAACAACTCTTCCGACGGCCAGCCATTTAAATGTTAATTAAATGCCTCAACATCTCTCTCCCTCTTTTCTGTACGCTTTTTTTTGTGCAATTCCAAACAGCTGCCACTTTAGCATGCGTTTTTATTTATGTTTTGTGTAATCGGGGCCGCTCCTCAAGTTCTTATAAAGAGATAAACTAAAAGCTTAACGCCGCCTGCCGAGGGGATCGTCCAACAAACGAGAAATTGTTTGGTAACTCTGCTTTTTTTTTTTTTACGGCTGCTCGAGGAGAATTCAAATTTTCCAATTTGTTGCTGTTGCAAACGCTTTTCAGCGCTGCTTTTATTAACATTATCTGGACAGGCGCGATGAGCCGACAAATGTCTTAGATCTCGGAAAAACTGCACTAGATGTAGGATCACACCCGGGAAATTATAGGAGAGAAAAGAAGGGGTGGCATGAAAGAAGAAAAGCCACCCACTGTTTTTATAATTTTCACGCTGATTTTTGGGTTCAATAACCGTTCGATGTCGGAGTATTATCGAATATATCTTATCTGACAGATTGCCAAATATTTGCCCGTGGGGCGGCGTAAGAGAATGGGGCGGGCCTACACATTTCATTCATTCCTTCTCATTGTTTATTGTTCTTGGTGACGGGTTCGTCTCTTCGTTTTTCCCACGACAGACCAGACAACATCTCTGATGGGTAGAAAAATCACGGCCAGCTAAATATTTTTAATAGTGTTTGGCCATCCGGACATTTGATAGTAGATTTCACATGCTGTTTTATGTTTCATCTGTTGATATTGTGTTGCCGCTGTCTTTAATATGCAAAATCATGACACATTTGCCCGGAGTTTGTATCTCGTTTACTTTTGACGTTCCTCCCCTCCTGTTTTTGAATGTTTTTATTTTTTAACAAGATCAACAAACTGGAAATGTTATGAGAGAGAGAGAGAGGGGTTGGTGGGTGAGGTGAACAGGGGGTGTTGGGAGGGGACTGAGTGGGGCCATGGGTCGTTCGATCACGATTTTTTGTTTACACTCTACTTTCAGTCCAATTAAAGGAATGTTGTTGGCCTTTGTGGCTGCGTTTCTTCCCTAACAAAGTCAGAGATGAAAAGCGAAAACTATGCAAAATGTTCAACATCGACAGTTTGACATCTCAAAAGTCCTAGGCCTCACCCCAAACCCCCCTTTTCTACACACAGAGAAATAAAATGTTTATTGGGTTAATAAGAATTCGAATTTTATTGAATTTGAGATATCTATAAAGATTTTTACTGTTTAGTGATACTTTGCTCACTCTTACTAATCAGAGTATTATTATCTTTTTCCAACCGTTTAAACTGATTGGCCAATCAATCATATGAAACTGACATTTCATAGATAAAATCATTTCTTGCACTGCAGCTCCCACAAGTTCAACTTCAAATGCGAAAACTCATTTCAATAACAATTGCAGGCGACCCAAAAAAGGCAAAAAGGAAACACTTCAACAGCAGAGCTCAATTTGCTGGCATGTCCAGTCTTTTGCTAATTGCTTTGCAGCTGCAAGGGGGCGGAGGCCACGCCCACACATGCCCCGTAGACCCAATGCCCATATCCTCCATAGCTCACGGGTCACCGCCAAGAGACTTTGTTAGGTGGATGGGGGACCAAAAGCCAGACAAAAGACATAAACCCAGTTACCGTTAGCTGCGTAATTTATGCAAATGACTTTGGTTAATTAGCAAAACGAAGGAAAAACAAGAAAACCATAGACATGCGCTACCAGCAAACTCTCCTCCTCCACCTCCCCCCCTTTGTGCGGTGGCGTTTTCCATAATAATATTTGTATATAGAGATTATGATATGCAGGAAGGCACGATCGCTTTTTAACGAATCGTGCCTCAAACTACAAATTTTGATTGCTCACCTGCCGAACGATATGTGTCAAAATGCAGAATGCACCTGTAGCCCGTGCATAACTATTTCCCAACCTAGTCTAAACAATGGCAAGTATTAATAAAATTATTCAAATTAGCTGCATTTTCCGCTTTTGTCACATTATTTGAACAAATTTGTGTTGGTGATAACGTCATCAAATTAACATATTCACCCAATGCGTTGACATAAAAATGGGCTAGGGCATACAAAATGAATGCCTTATCAAGGGTGAGAATTTATTTTGATTAAAAGATTTTAGATTGGTTTAACAGATAGCAAAAAGAAAATGGTTTAAATTGGTTAAATTGTAACTTGGGGAAAATATAAATATTTGAGTAGAAATTAGGCAGTTTGACTTTTGGTTTTTTATAAAAAAGTAAACATTAAGAAAACGCGAAAGAAAATCACAAAAATATTTGGTAGGATAGTAAGTTTCTAATATCGATTTTTATAAACTCTTGATAAAGTGTACATTGAAAACCACTTAGAATTATTGACAAGAATTTAATAAAGCCATTGTCTTGAAGTTCACACGATAATTAATTCCTAAACCATTTATGGCATTGTTTAGCAGTTAAGGCACATAAATGAAAGACATCTTGCCGGACAACTTAGTTAGCCGCAGCATAAAAAATGCAAATTCGCGACCATAAGTGACATATAACTCCTAGACAGGATCGGTTATGTGATATTGAGCAAGATTAATGCACTAGGAAATGTCGAACGTCGCCTGACACACATTCAATTCATAAATAATTGCAATTAATTAACAATATTTGCATGCGACTTACACACAGCGAACAAATTCCAACTGACCCGCGAGTTCAATTCGGTAGAAGAAAAACAGAGATAATCTTGGCCAGATTTAAATGCCTGTTTTTTTTTTTTTTTTGAAGATGCCTCCGAAGTTCGGACACACAAATAAATCAAAACACAATTATGTCAAATTTGCAATCACAAACAATAAATTGAATTGAGTTTTCACACTGACATTAAGCAGATACGCGGCATTTGTATTTCTTTTTTATGCAAACAATAAATTAAATCCTGAATGAGGCTTTTAAAATTTATATATTTCTTATTAATTTACTGATAAATATTAAGGCTCTTGAGAATCCGGATTCTGCGTTAGCCGCTTCCGTAAACGAACGAACTGGCAGCGATCTTTGAGATACAATTTTCCAGCTGGCGCGGCGGAGCTAACACAAACCAAACCGATCTCTTAGAAGTCCCGAGACGAACTGAAAATGCACAGCCGAAACCGAAAGTCCAGTTAGCGATCGGCGATCAACAGTGTTGTCGGTAAATGGTGTATTCATTCGGCACTTAAAATCTCTTAAAAATAAATAAATATTTATTTAAAGGGTAACTTAAAACACTCATTATTTAAGGGGGTTTTACCACACATTTATGATTTATCTTTCTGATATTTATAATGGAGTTTCTTATTACCTGATTTTAATTTCCGTAAACAAATAGTAATAGATGATGAATTATAAAATTTATATTAGAAATGATTATTCAAAAGTGATTAATTTAATTATTCATTTGTCTAACTTTACTTGTGAAATATAAAATAAATATTTTTGAAAACCAAATAAAGTTTGGCTATTAACTAACTTTAATTCCCTTTTATAAAAGACTTGTAAATGAATACATATTTATTTAACTAAGAAAATAAAATCCATCACTGAAGCAGAAGAAATATTTAAATTAAGTTATAGCTAGAAAAAGGCCAAGTGCTCCGCTCCCCTGAAGCAGCACTGAAGTCTGAAGCCCATGTTCGGTGCACATTCGCTGGTTCGTTCAAACGAAATTGGACCGATGGGGCAGAAGTTTGCTTCCTTTGTTTGATGCAACTGAGAAGCAGAATGGATTCGCCAGGCGGAAGAACTCTTGGGGTTGGGGGGAGAAGATTGTGGGTGGTGGGCGGTACAGTGGGCAGGTATGCCCTCGGCCCTCGGTCCTCGGTCGTTGGCTGGTTTTTTGAGTGCGTTACAGCTGTTTTGTTTATATGGATGGGAACGCCGCGCCCCCGATCTCTCACCTCGTCCAAACTATTTGGAGTTTGCGGTTTATGCTTTTTATGGTCCGCCGTTGTTGTTCTTGCTGCCACTGTTGCCTTTGTTGCTTCTTCTCCGGTTGGTGGCAAGTTGTTAAGTTAAATATTTACCCGCCGATGCCGGGCAGCCAGTTTAGTCCACGGCTGGCTGATCTTTCACATGGAGAATCCCAAAGCAACCCAAAAGCAAGAACTCGTTTCGAGCCCTTCTGTCCATATCGGGTGCTGGATCTGTCGTTGTCATCATAAGAGTGCTACTGTCAACCACACTCGAAGAATACCTTTCGATCTAGATCTAGTTTTAAATGTCTGGCTAGAATTCGGACTCCAGAAATACAGTTTAAACGATGTATTATAACAGTTCTAAAAAGTAATATATATTTTAGCAATTTTTAAAAGCAGAACAAGTTTTTCCATGTGCATTGCCTCATACTATTAGCCATTGGCTATGGAGTAGCTGCCCACTGTCTAAACGCTGAGCACATTGGACATGTCAAAAGGATTTGCGCCTGCGCAGCAAAACTTCCAACATTCGTCTTTCGGTATCCCATAAACTGGTTGCAAATTCCCTGGCCAACAGAATGGTCATAAATCGAACAATGTGCCAGCTATTGACAGTTCGCTTAGCTTCACAAAGGTACGGTCTTCTTTTTATACATTTGTGTTTGTGTGTGTGTCTTTCTCAGGTTGCCTTTCCGCCGGCTATCACACAATTTATTGGGCTATTAGTTGCCACTTGAGTGGGGACTTTGGGGAACACCCACGCCGTCTTCTACCCAAATCGAATTCGAATAAAGCATAAGAGCATAAAAGCTGATAACAAAGCCAGGTTCCCCGCTCAGACAATTAACTGATAACAATTCATTAGCATTCCATGTGGGTTGCCCATCGTCATCGTCATCTCCATCGTCATCATCATTATCACGACCATTTTCATCAGTTGCTGCAGCTCTGCATTTGAGACTCTTCATGACGTTTTTAGGTAATTTGACAGCCGTTTGATGAGCGACAACATGTAGCCAAATTGTATCTTCTTTTATGGCTCAGGTGGGTGGCAGCATGGAATGGATTTTGTCATAGGCAATATAGTTTAAAGAGGGATAAGATGTTAGGGAGTACTTTTCTTTAATAGGAAAAGATAACATTAGGAGATGGATCACTATCCCTAAGATTGTTTGGTAATAAAATTTATGTTTATACAGTTTTCGATTAATAAAGCTAACGATTAACCTATCAGCACAGAAAACTTAAATTTAAACTTTAAATACACATTGTTCGCCATGTAAACAATTTAATTCAGAGCCAAATTTAGTCATTTCAATGTTATCTCTGTGTCAGCACTTTTATTTGATTCTTGGCCGTAAAATCGTAACTTTTCGCGTGCCCTGTCAGACATTATCCATGCCTTCCATCTGGGTTGGTTTGGGTTTTCGGTTTGGGGTTTGAATTCGAGTATGGGGTGGGGTCCAGCTTGACCAGCAATCGTACGATCGTGCCTCAATTTGGGGCAAAATGCAGTGTCACTTGGTGTGGGGGAATTAACAAAAAAAAAAGAAAAACAAATGACAAAGGGGAAACTGTGAGGAATTCAAACTGCAAACAAGAGACGTGGCCATAAATCCGAAGCGAATGTGTCAAGCGCCAGGCAAATTTTCCAACAAATTCCCTGAAATGTTCTTTTGACACTGTCAGCATTCCCCAGCCCCATAATTTATATGATCACGCTTTTCCGAGATACGAATGTTGACGGAAGCGCACGAATTGCCATTGCAAATTGCAACTTATAGACAAAAGCGAAAATCGCCAACTTGCTAACTTGAAATAGTCAAATGATGATCCGGCCGGGCAATCGATCGCGCTGAATGTTCGACGATTTGCAACCTTGAGGCCTTATTAAGCCGCAACTTCCAGGTTGTTAAGGATAAGCAGCATAAGCATCTGCTGATGATACATTGATCATGCCTCGCATTAATGAGGGGGACAATCTAATTGATTTTTTTAATAGATACTATCTATAATTAAGTGTGAAAAAATCTACTAATTTCCGAAACGGAATTTAAGTATTATGCATAATTATAAAATTATGCGCTTAAACATTTTTTGTAGATAAAACTTTATCCTTTTTAAGGCAGCAAACTGTAAGAAATTGCTTTTCCTAAACACTCAAAGTTTGAGAGACACAACACTGTCAAATTAGTAAGTGAGTAAGTAAGTTCTAGACATAATCAAAATTTTCCCGGACTTCAAAAGGTAGCCAGCCGTCAGACAACCAGGTCAATAATGCAGCAATTCGCGTTCTGGAGGAGCGAGGCTAAGAAGAAACAGCTCGAGCAGATCTCACCCATATGGAAGGACCTGAATGCCACATTTGTGACGTAAGAAAAGGATGATGAACTTACCCAAAAAACTATATCTTAAATCGAATAAACAGTGTCCTTAGCTGGAGTTGGCTCATCTACATCTTGTCCGCATTGGTAATCCTCGTCTGTGGTTATTTCGCATATTGTGAGCGATGCCGCCGAACAGAATCAGTGCGACGACGACGTGTGATTCAAAGAGCTCAAGAACGGTATGACTATATTTTATAGTTTTATTTATTTTATAAATGTTATAAAACTAATTTTAGACCCCCACAGAAACGCCGCCCAAATGCGGCTTACCGGGATCACCAGATCTACCGGCACATTATCCTAAGTGTGGCCAAGTACATGAAGAATCCTGAGGGTATTCGCCCGTTTATAGACCACATGGATCAGCTATATCCCTTGAGACATCCCTTAGCTGACCAGCAGCAAGTAGCTGAGCTCTCCCTAAACGTTAATGATGCAGAACCAAGTGCTGGAGAGGATTAGTAATTAAGGTTTGAGGCGGTCAACCTTTGCAAATAAACAAAAGTTGGATTAGAAATTTGAAGAGAAACAAAATTTTGAATAAAATTTCCATTTCTATTTCTATACAAAAACATCCAACTAAAATTCAAACTGGAGTTGTAGAAACTAGATAAATTAATTAGTTTGACCAGGCCTTTACGAACGACAATGACAATTGCGGCATGCGCAGTGGCGAACTCTTGTCGGCGGTGCCTAAAAATATGCAGTGCTATTTTTACCTGCCACAAATATAAACAAATGCCATGTGCGTTTGCAGAGCTTTCAGCTGGCGAAAGCTCTTGGCTCTCTCGATTTTCCTGTTGCTGCTTTCCATTTCCAGCTAAGACTCTCGCCTCTCTCTCTCTTGGCCGACTTCTCGGGGCGTTAGCAGAAGAGAAGAAAAAGCGATGGAAAAGCGGAAAAACAGTTGCCAGTTAGACAGTGAGCGCGTCGCATCTACGCACGCATCGAAAAGATTCAGCGGCAGCAGCAGCAGCAGCAGCGCGTTCAGTGGTTGTTGTTGTTGGAAACGGTGGAAGCAAACACACACACACATAGACACAGCCACAACACCAACACACCCATACACACACACCAGCAAGCGGCCAGCAAACACAATTTTCAGCTGGCCAACAGAAAAGAAACAAAAAGTTTGTTCATCCTTAATCGCTTTTTATTTTCTACCCAACACAATCGAAAATGAAAATTTGGAAAATTTCATACCAAAAGTGAATTCAATTAAACTGTGCAATTTACGAGCTAGACGATAATTGAAAAATCAAGGCACACACCTGCGCACATGTGTCTGTGAGAGGGTCCTGTGTGTACTATGCATGTGTATCTGTGTGAACTCGCCTGCGGCTGTATGTGTGTTGAAGGCTAAGCAGAAAATCAGCAGCCCACGGAAAAAGCCAACAAGTAAAGCGAGAAATAAAAGTTGCATGTGTCCCGAAAAATCAGAAAATTGCAAATTGCAAAAATTTGTTAGCCAAAGAAAGGAAAAGAAAATCAAATAAAATTCACAGTGCAAAGTGACAACATTTAAAAGTTATTCGACAATCGTGGAAATCAAAATATTTCAAGGCAGCAAAGCCATACATAAATCATACCCCTTTCAAATTATCTTATCTGGAAACAAAAATCCATTTAATTTAACACCAACAAATGCATGCATTAAAATATTATTTAATTGATTTATTAGTGAATAAACGTTTCTTTGAGGGCCTCCGACTTTGGTTAGCTATATCTTAAGCCCACATTCATCTAGATATTTTACAGTTCTTGCCTGTTGCAGCCAAAGAGTTAGCAAACAAAGTGATAAAGACAAAGTGTTCAAGACAAAATGTTATAAATATTATTCAAATATTATACAAAACAAAAACCAAAATAAATAACTTAACAATTAAACGCTAAACTGGAAATTGGAGCAATGTCAAGGCACAGGTTTTCAACAGGATGTTCTGGGTAAGGTGAGTACCTTCTTGGAGCATCCAGTGGAGCTTTGCTCCAGACGCATCCTACCTCAACAAAAAAAAAATAAGATATATGGGTAGAGTTAGGGAGAAGCACAAGCGAAAGAGCGAACCAAAACATAAACATCCCCGAAAAGAGCGAACAAGTAGGAGTGATGGCTGAAAAGAAAGTAATGGGAAGCACTGGAATAAATTTGATTAGGATAGAATATATTTCTGTTTCTTTTAAAAACTTTAACATTTTCAAACATCTTTATTAAGCATTTATGGATGATTAGTTTTTGTATGTTAGATCTTTAGGAATCCCCAAAAGTATTCTTCAACATGTTTAAGGATTGTCCTTAATGTCTATAATCAAAGTAAAGATTACTTATTGTTAAATATTTTTTAACAGACAGTATTGACAGTATTTTCTCTCAGTGCATTATACTCCTATATTCTTCAATTGGAAATACTATGCTGCTTTTCTCTTCTCCTTTATGTCCTGCCCTTCAGAGCTGATATAGAGATACCAAAATAGGCAAAGTTTAGCAAAAAAAACAACGAATTTCGGTTGAAAAGCTCAATGCAAAGAATGCCAGCATTCGTTGGGGATTAGCTAAAGCCAAAGACTTTGCGCAAATACTGAAAAGCTCGAGCTCAGCGCATCATTTTCCACACAAATTTCGTTTGCGAAAATTTCAATTTATGTGTAGCATACAGGATTTGCAGGATATATGTGTGTCTCTGTCGCCTGCATCTTGAAGATAATGTATCTGTAACTCGGTCACACGTTACACGCTTTGCTGTACTTTTTTCCCCCCTTTTTTTATTGACTTTGTCGTTTTATAGGCAATTTGTCTTTTGGCTGCCGTCGATAACTTTTGCTGTGTCATAAAATTTCGCGCCAAGCGAATGGCCCGTATCCTTATCCTTATCGTCAGGAGCCGGGTTCAGGCTCGGACTCTTTCGCTGCCAAGTTGTTTATTTTGTCGTAAATTTGCCTTCAAGGACGCGACAACACCGCACAATCCACAAGCCACCCACCCGCCCTTTACCCTAGCACATGGCCATTTTATCGATCACACAATGGGAAATTTCACACGTTGTCCCAAAGGGCTAAGAAATGGCATGGGAAAGTACAGTGGTCGGTGGTTGTTTCAATTAATTTTACTTTCAGTTAATTGTAGGTTGCTGGCTTTGTTACAATGTTCATGGATATGGTGTATGGAAAGCTATAGTTGCTTTTTTAAAAGGAAAATCTTTTTAAACTGAGATTTAGTGATTTTAAACTATCTAACTCTAAAGGGTAAAAAGTCAGAGTTCCTAAAGAGTTTTTCAAAATATTTATTAAACCAGAACAAGGACAAAAGATTAGGTCTCTAAGGTCCCAAATAGTACTTTGTTTCCAGTGGTTACTGTAGCGAGAAACCCACTGTGCTGAGCTGCGTTTCGTTGCTCGTCTTTAATTACGTGTGCTGCAATTGGCAGCTTCAAGGTCGTTGCCGTCTTTTGCATAATTAAGGGTCGCCCACCAACCCTCCACCCACCGCTTCTGACTCATTCATGCCCCAATATCTCGCTCACTACGAGTGGCTTTTGTTCTTTCAGCACAGTTTCTGAATAATGCAATTGACGCGGGCGTGTGGGCGCTGACACAGTTGCCATTTTTCACACATGACCAACCAGAAAAGCCAGAGACCATAGACCAGAAACCTGCCAGCAGCAACTAGCAACGTGCAACGAGCAACATGCAACATTCGCCGCATGTCCGGTACTCAAGTGCAATTTCCATTGCATACTTCAAGGCTGGCCGTAGTCTAATTTACATGCCAAATGACGCTGCTCTCTGGCTTTCTGCTTTCCATTTATGAGTCGTGACGTGCGACTGCGATTGTCCACCATCCCTTTTCTTCGCCTCTTTGTGTTTCGACACACGTATTCAATTAGTCCGATAAAGGAAGCAAAATGCCGCAGCTGCTCTCACAGCCCACACATTTGCATATTCCTATATATGGTTCTAGACTGTGTGGACTGAAAGTGTAAGCTCTTTTCACCCTTGAACTGAAATGAAATTTAGAATGCAAAGTTCACATTAAATGTTCTTCAAAAAATTTAATTTCAAGTAATTAATTTCTTTTTTTGCAACCATCCCATCGAAAAGGAATTTTACAATATATATTCACAAATTTATATCTCTCTTAATTTATGGCCACAACGTGTCTGCATTTGGCAAATGTCGCGTGTTTTTTGTTATTTTTTTTTTTAGTAGCACCCACAGAAGAAATTTTGGAAAGTGAGAGTGCGGTTGTTTTTTGGCGGCTTTTAGGTTTGACAACAAATAGCCAGCAAAACAGATGAGACAAACAAAACACCGTTGCTATATTTAAATATCTTAAAATAACAACAACAAACCGAACTGAATGTGTATAAAACAATATATTAAGAAATGGCTGTGACTAGCAGATACTCTTTGGAGAAATTTTGAAAGAAAGAATTAGTTTTAAATTTTGACCTACAAAACCTACTTGGATACAGTTTATATCTTCGAAAATCCCATATACCCTCTAAAATATTTATTTTCCACAGAACAAAATAGCATTTAGGAAAACATTTTAACTAAAACTGGCCAAACAAAAACAAAACAAAAACGCTGGTCGATGGCCGGCCTAAATGGGCACACCCACTCAGCCTAAATTCTCCAACACTCCCCTATTTTCCGCTCTCAATTTTCTGTCCCTTCCCATTTTTGCCACCCACTGTTATTCCAAATTCTCGCATTTCCTTTCACCTCCTTGCACGCACACACTCACACAAACACAAATCGCAACTTTCTATTTGTCTAATTAGTTGTGGGCTGTGACCGCCTTGATTTATATATTTATGATGGGCGTGGCCCTGGGCTAGTGCCAACTAATTGCCGCCAGCGATTCCATTCCGTTTTTCGATTCCTGATAGTGACCCTCGAAGAGTAGCTTTTTGCCCCTCGGCAAAGGCAGACAAGTACAGATACATATACAGGGATACACAGATACAAACTCGTTCACAGATACACACGCTAATAAGTGTGCATTTGGCAGCTGCTGGGAACAAATTGGTTAAATGTCAAACCATCCTCAGAGCTTCCGTCTCAATCCCGGCCAGACTTGGCAGCTCTTTCAGCGTCAGTGTGCACATTTAGCCAATAAATTGCAAATGAAATACAAGTAACAAGGCGACGGATAAGCCTTGTGTACACGGAGAGAAAAAGTTGGTGACATTTGCTTAGAAATTAACTATCAGAGAAAGTTATTATTAAATTTTTTGGTATTATTTATTAAAAAAAAAAAACACAACGCAGCCAAAAATGGTCCAAATGAGGAATGTAATACCTCGTAGTGCTCGTAATTTGATTGCTATGATTCGCAATGGGTTTGCATTAAAATTTGGGAAACTTTAATTTTGGTCAATTTTTTGAAAATTTTGATGATTTATCAAAAATGCGAAATTTGGGCCAAAATTGACTTTCCCAAAATCGAAAAATGAGTGATAGAGGTGGTTAGTATTGATCGTTAGCAGATCAAAACAGTCGTTCTTATGGCTGTACGGCTTCTTTTGGCCGATCAAGAGCTAGAAAGCCGCAAGTAATACTGCACATTTCTGTTAAAAATAGGTTTTTTGATGTTTTAGCCATTTAGTCAGCTTTCGCAGCAAAAATTTCAAAACAATCATTGTAAAAGTAAGTATAGGGGTCTTAAGTCTCGGTAGTCATCTGCAAAAAACAGTTATTGGTTGAGCCACCCCGCTTGTTTTGACAAAGTTAAAGCTAAAAAGCGGCAAAAAATCGTGTCTCTCTGCTGTAAAGGACGTATACTTGATTTACGCCCAAAATATCAGTATTTTCTTAATAACACAGTCAAAAAAGGCCCAAATATGGAATGTCATATATCGTATGGCTCGCAATTGGATTGCTGTGATTACCAATCGAATTGCATTCAAATCTGAGACACTTCAATTTTTCCCATTTTTTGAAAATTTTGGTGATGGTACCCCTTATCAAAAATCCGAAATTTGGGCGAAAATTGATTTTCCCAAAATCGAAAAACGAGTGATAGGAGTGGTTAGTGTTGGTCGTTAGCAGCACAAAACAGTCGTTTTTTTGGCTGTGGGTCTTGTTTTGACCGAGCTAGAGCTAAAAACCCGAGCATAGTATTGCAAATTTCTGTTAGAAATCGGTTTCCTGATTTTGTAGCACTTAAAACAGAGCTCGCACCAAAATATCAGAACTATATTTATAAAAGCAAGTATAGGGGTTTGAAGTTTTGGTTGTTAGCTGCATAAAACAGTCATTCTATTAGCCGTGCGTCTTGTTTTAACAAAGTTAGAGCTAAGAAACGGCAACCAAACCGGGATATCTGCTGTCAAAGGACGTATACTTAATTTTTGGCGCAATAAAATCAGTTTTTTAGCCATATTACAGCCAAAAATGGTCCGAATGAAGAATGTAATACCTCGTTGGGCTCGCAATTGGATTGATGTGATTCCCAATTGAGTTGCATTCAAATTTTGATGATGGTAAACCTTATCAAAAAAGCGAAATTTGGGCCAAAATTTATTTTTTCAAAATCGAAAATCGAGTGATAGGGGTGGTAAGTGTTGATCATTAGCAGCACAAAACAATCGTTTTTTTAGGTGTGGGTCTTGTTTTGACCGAGCTAGAGCTCAAAACCCGAAAATAGTTTTGCAAATTTCTGCTATAATAGGTTTCCTGATTTTTTAGCCGTTAAATCAGAGCACGCACTGAAAAATCAGAGAAATAATGATAAAACGTAGTAAAGGAGTTTTAAGTTCCGGTAGTTAGCTGTATAAAACAGTTATTGTTTTAGCCATGCGGCTTGTTTTGACAAAGTTAGAGCTAAGGAACTGCAACAAAGCCGTGCTCTCTGCTGTCAAAAGACGTATACTTGATTTTGCATTTATTCAATAAACGCAATGATGTAATATATATTTTAGTACCTTTTCCCTCTGTGTAATTGCATCAAAACCGCACCGTCATGATCCCGCGTGGCAACCCTCTAGCCATTGGCTCTATTCACTTCCCCCTTTTGCTTATCAATCAGACAGCAAATAATAGCAACAAATAAACAAGTTGCTGCATTAAAGATGGCAACAGCAACAGCAACGACCACGTAGTGAAACGGAGCCATGGCGGCATTGACAAATTGATGCATTGCCATATTGATTGGCTGACTGACTGGCTTTGCTATTGCCACTGCCACAATGAACGCCTTGAATGAATGTCAAGTCGCAGCATTGAAATGAATTTCGTGTCGGGGTTTTTTTTCCTTTTTTATTGATCGATTGTTCCAGTAGTGAGTGTATCTGTGTGTGTTTGTCTTTGTGCGAGTGTGGGCGTAGAATATAGCCGGTATCATGAGCCAATACAATTGTCCTTAGCGCCGAGTGCCGCAAGTCTTATTTATTACGCATACGTCACGTTGTCGACTAGTTATGGGCCACGGACGAAAGGCAAGTGGGCGCCCCTTGACTGTGACCTTGTCAATTGTAAAACAGCTGCAGAACCTTGCATTTGGCAACATTCGAGTTGCTACCAATAGCCAAAAAGAAAATAAACTTTCGACCAAGGGGAAATCAGAATTAGTGAGCCATTCGAGCGCTACACAAAATCCAGAGGGGAATAAAACAATATAAAACTAAACACGCGCGCGTCGCCAAGTCGCTGTTTGCCCTTGGCCCGCGCCACGCCTCCTCTATTTCACTACCCCTCTCCCCCTTATTGCCTGTATCATACCGCCCTCACAACGCAAAATTGGCCCAAATAAAAGCATTGCGTATACGACATGTGGTACGGCATTTCACAATGCGGTTTATGGCCATAACAGCGGGTAGCACGTGAATTTAAGTTGGCCCAATCACGCACCCCCCACCGACATTTATTTTGAGGACAGAAATGTATTCAGGGCATTTCATAGGGAAATTGGATTTTTTTATGACGTTCCTTGGCGAAATTACTGTTTTTCGTCTGCTTATTATTATTATGCCAACATGGAGTTTCCCACAGATTGGGGAATTTAGCTGACACTTTCAGCTGAGTAAACTTTTATCGCTATTGATTTTGCTGACTAAATTGTAGAAGAAATCCTTAAACTTATGATTCTGGCTTAGTTTGCAATCCACATTCATATTGAATTTTCATCAATTTTTCTTTTGCTCGAACTGTTGCATTTTGTGTTAAAGTTTTTAGCTTTCTCCCACTTTAATTGCAATTTGCCTGCAGGCATTTTTTGGTTGACAAAAGTTTGTAACCAAAAGTTTGGCTCGGTGAGCGGTGGGCGAAGCAACAGGCTGCAGGACCGCCTGCAAAGTCCTTAAGCCACTGAGTGACAGGAGCTGCCAAGTCTAGCCCGGAACCACGCCTCCACCTCTGCCTTCTCCTCCCCTGAAGGACGAGCATTTTCAGGCATATGCGACATTTGACATGCGTAAGCATAAATTATGCACCCGCCGTCGCACCAGATGCACTGAACAAAACAGGTGGCCAAAGTAAATACGATGAATAAAAAATAGTGAAATAGCTTGTGGGTGAAACGTAACAGCGAAAATAAAAACCAAGGTGAGGTCATGCTTATGTAAAGACGCAACCACGTGGATGGCGACAATGATGACGTGGCACCCATCCGCAGCAGCCTTGTCAGCCTGCCTGCCGCCCACTTGTGCACCCACTTTTCGTCCTGGGGCTTCCTGCCAACAACTAACGTCATCAAACGGGTAGTATCCTTCTTGGGCCTGCAGCTCGCCTTGGCCTTTGTTGCGGTATTTCGCAATTTGTTTTAAACACGTAGCCATCCAAAAGTTTATTTATAGCTCCCCAAAAGCTTTTCTCCATCCTGCCATTCCACCATCTTGCCATCTTGCCTTCTTCGGCTTCTATTCACACCCACCTGCCTGGCATTTGGATATGGTTTTATGACAGTCTCACATTCGATGGCTTTCCGCTTCTGTTTGTGTTTCGTTTCGGACTCAGAAAGTTTTTTGTGTTTTCTGAGGCGACATAAACACGCATGGGATACATATTTTATGGGCCCGAACACTGGAAAATCCACACAGAGCCAGAAATGAAAACAGGCCAAACGAAAGTCGGGCGCAAACATACAGTGCGTTTCGGTGATGTAGGGCAGTTACATATTTGGCATGTCTTGAAAGTTCGCTTCTTTATTGCTAAGAGGAACAAGCAAGGACTTATATGACTTATTTTTTGCTTTCAACTTACCAATCAGATTTTACAATAAACATTTCATTGATCATTAATATACAGAAGTTTGAAAGTGAACCAGATTGCAGTTTATGGCATCATTCATTATTAGTTTTAATATTTATGATCGCCTTGCCTAACACTCATCATAAGCTTTAATGGCTAGTTATGTGGGTCACTTCATTTTTTAAGTGAAGCTTGAGTTTCAACTTCCATAACCCAGTTTGCAGCATCCATATCTCTGGCAGTGTCAAAAGGGGTCAAAAGATTTACCTTCCGACAGGACCAAAGCTGCCCCAAAAAGCAGGCCACATATTATTTTTAATTATGCCAGAGGCCTAATGAGCTGCCCAGTGTTCCCAGTGGCAATCAAAACCTCATCAGATTGTTAGCGGTTCCCTTGAAGAACAATGAACATATTTACATAATTAATCACCGGTCGCGCTTATTGATTATCCTTCCAAGAAAAAGCGCAGAGAGTTCGCTGAACTCATTTCTCGGGGTCTCCGGTCCTCTGGTTTCCGGTTTTCCACTACGGGGGTCAAGGGGCCACTCATTATGCGAACGGGTCCGGTTAAGTTGGCAGCAATAACAGTTATTTCAGCGTAATTGCAGTGGGGACGGACGTAGCCGAGTGGATTTGAATTGGTCGTAGGCCAGGAAGTCATTTGCACAAATGACGTTTGCCTCGGCATCGTCATCAAATGCACTAACTTACGTAATGATTGACAATCAGCTGGGGTTTCGGTGTGTCCGTGTGTTTTGCTGGGGTTCAGGTGTCCCTAATGCAATTCATTGATATTTATCACCTGGACAGTGAATGACTGTCGAACCAGAAGCGTTACCCCGTTATCGTTAATTAAATTACAAAGTTAAGGGAGAAAATGGAGAGAGGGCCGACGTAAATGACAAACTTGTTACCTCACTCAACGACATTCCCTAATGCCACCCCCCTAATGGCATCCTACTTCTCATTCTCCTCCAGCTCATTGGGCCACATGGAGCACCCCCGTCGATGTCTAATGGCATTTGATAATGGTGTTTGTGTTTGTGTCTGCGTGGAAAATGGCACGATGACGTAGTGAATGTCTCTTATGGTGGTTGAGATGAAAAGTTGGCTGTGACTTTAAAATATTATATCAGAAGCTAGTATTTTTTTATATAATTTAGGGAGATAAGGTGATAAAATATTAAATAATATTCTTGAAAAAATTATTATATAATATTAATACATATTTAATACTTCTTTGTAGTCTTCGTTAACCTTTTTAAAACAGCAAATATTGCCCGAAAATAGCCATGTTGGCATCACTAGACTGAGGTCGGTTAAATATAGATAGAGTGGGCGTGATCGATGACGGTGGTCCACAAATAGAGACCGAAGCGGAGACCCCTCGAGATTTTTAACAGTTCCAGGCCCTCGAGAGACAAACGCAGTTTGAGCAGCCGGCCAGTGACAGCTATGGCTCTCAAACTGTGTCAAGTGGCACCGCAAAGTGGGTCATTGCAGGCGGGAAAAGTGGGTGGTTATGGTGGTTTGGGTGTCTCTGAAATAGCAGGCAAGTGACGGGCCCCAGGATAAGCACGCTTATGTAAAGCGTTTGTGCAGCTAAAAGGCTTTTTCCGCCTGCTGCCGTATGTGGGATAATTTATTGATTGGCTCAAGATGGGAGATTCTGTAAACTATTTATGGAGCGCAGAAGGCATTCAATTGCTTCCCTTTGTCCTTCCAGATGCGCACAATTAGCTTAAACCGACAGCAGGACATGGAGTGCAGAGGCAACAACAGCAACAACAACAACAAAAGCCAGAATTTACAAGCAAAAGGATAATCACAATCACCAAGCAGCGAAATTAAAATACCAAAGCCGATACTAAACAACCGAACTATTATCGAACTATTTTAAAACAAAAAACTTACACGTAGCACAACAGAAGCCTTACAAGACAACAAAACCATTTGTGCTGTGCTTTAATTATAGTCAAAGATAATTACAACAACCCTCGAAGACCGCGTAATTATTACACATTAAATAATAATATTAATATTAATAATCATTATTCTTCCACTTGCGAGTTTGAAATGTGTACATTTTTAAATCGATATATTTAAACTATTAGCGAATTATTACTAACTGTTTAAACGTTCATTAAAAACTTAGCAAAGAGCGTTGTGAATTCAAAAAGAAGAAATAATTAAATACTTTAGAACAAATTGTACGCAATTAGTAGATTTTAAACGTAAGATTTTAATCCAAGCAAAATTTTTAAACGAGCTTCAAACACACGATAGACGAACAGAAAAAAAAAAACACCCACACCCGAGCAGAAACCTTATCCTTAACCTTAACCACGGCGTCAGGACTTGTAAGGGTAACAACAATCAAATGCTTGGCTCACCGCCAGAAAGTAGGCAGCAGAAAGTACAGGCCAAAAAGTAGGCAGTAGAAAATTTATACAAATTTGGCGCCAGCGGTGGAAAAAGGACGAAAAAAAAAGGGCAGGAAGGCGGAGAAGCAGAAAAGCAGCGCCAAGGACTCCGACGACCTTCGCGTGTGCAAGCGTCGTTGCACAATAAAGGACGCCACTAACACTCTCACCCAGTCACAAACCCTACATATACTCACCTAGGCACACGGCCAAACAAACATACACACACACACACACGCAGACACACCTACATCCAAAAGCACAGGACAATTGCATGGGCGGCCGCCATGACCGGAAGTGAAGTTCGGTCACGTCCACGTCCACTGGCCTTTGCATAACAATCAGCCCGCCAAGGAGCCGCCAAGAAGGTTCGGAGAAAGCGGGAGAAAGCAAGTGAAAAGCAGTAGAAGACAGAGCAAAAGGAGGAGCAACTGAAGGATTCTAAAAACAACGAGCACAGGAAAGCCACTTTCACCCGCCAGCGGCCCGTAAAAATGCAGGAAATGAGCTACCTGCAGGATAATTCCAAGGTGGAGGCCCTCACTAAGGCGGTGCTCATATCCATACTGGGCGTGGCCATCGTCCTCTCCAACCTTCTCATCATCGCCACCTATGCCAATTTCAAGGGTACGTTATGCGATTAATATACGATTAATGCTCTCCACAGGATCAACTTGAACGCGGTTAGGTTTGCTCTCAAGAACAATATTTTCATAAACTAAACATGTGTTAAGTCTAATTTAAGTAATCAATTTCATTTTGACCATTAATATTAAATACTTTTAAACAACTGCATCCTTTATTTTGATGTAAAATGCGAACCGAATGAAGTAATTTAAATGTCTTGTATTATTGTTGTCTGAACTGCATTACAAATTCCAAAATCAAATTTGCTTAAAAATATTATTTATCTCAAATTGTTAACAACCTTTATTTACCTCAAAATTTCAAAAGCCTTAGGTTATCAAAAATTGTTAGTGAATGTCGTACAAATAGACTCGTCAAAATATTTATTGAATGAATCATTTTAAAATTATTGTTTGCATTTCGTTTTCATTTGATCATACTTCTTAGTCAGTATCTAATATCAAAATGTGTCAACAGGACCCACAGAGGTTATCAACTATTACCTTCTGTCCCTGGCCATTGCCGATCTGCTCTGCGGACTTCTGGTGGTGCCCTTCTCTGTGTATCCCGCCTTGACCGGAGAATGGATGTACGGTGATATCGTATGCCGCTTCACAGGTTACCTGGAGGTCACTTTGTGGGCGGTCTCTGTTTACACTTTTATGTGGATATCGGTGGATCGGTATTTAGCAGTGAGAAAACCATTGCGTTACGAAACGGTCCAAACGAAAACGAGGTAAGATATCTTAGGATCATCAACATTACAAGTTAGGATAACGTAAAGCAAACTGAATTGATCTTTTATCCTTTTATTCATATCTCATAGATGCCAATGCTGGATGGTGTTCACATGGATATCGGCGGCCCTGCTCTGCTGCCCACCGATCTTGGGCTACTCGATGCCAATTGAGAACAACATGACGCACATCTGCATGCTGGACTGGGGGAATATGGCAGCATATAGTGCCACATTGGCGATTTTAGTCTTAGGTCCCAGCCTCATTTCAATCGTACACAACTACGGCTATATCTTTGTAATGATGCGTAAGATTAGGTCCGGCGAGCCGATACACGATAAAGAATATGCAACTGCTCTGGCTGAAAATTTATCGAACCCTAGTCATATGATGTCATTCGCATTAGTCTTTGCATTCTGGGTGTCCTGGCTGCCATGGATTCTGTTGCGTCTGTATGAGGTGGTCACGGGCGATGTTATCCAAAGTACTCTTATCAACTTCGCCGTCGTCTGGATCGGCATATTGAATTCGTTTTGGAAAATTCTGATCATGACCAGTATGTCGCCGCAATTCCGTATCGCTTTGAGAGTATTTTGCTTAACCATTTGTTGTAAGACTAAGGGCCGTTTGCAAGCAGAGCTAATCGGGTTGGACCCAGATGACTAGAGTTAGATTTAGATTTTCATTCTCCTCAAAAAAATAATAAGAAAAATCCGCAAAATATACCCCGCTCCCCAACCCGATCCTCAATCCCTTTGAGAAGAACTACAAAGTCCTGCAAGTAAAAAAATTGGTTGTAATTGCATTGAGCCATTTCCTTAACTCTCTCTCTCAATATATATCTCTCTCTCGATATTAACACTTACTTGCCTGTTTGCCATATAGTTGCATATTTACGGGCCGTTTGGCGCTACGCGACATGCCAATGAAAGCACCACCCACAGCCACAGCCACAGCCACTGAAAAACTAAACTCAAAAACGCAACCACTCAACCACTCAGCCACCCAACCACCATACAGCAACCAACCACACAGAAAAACACCAAAAAATAACACAGACACGTTGAAAGACATATTCATATTTCTAGACCTAAGCTAAGCTAAGAGTTTTAGCGTATCCAATTATGATTGATTAATTGATTGATTGAATTGAATTGATTGACGATTATTATTGTGTATTTATGAGCTTACCACGTATATACTTGTACTTAACTCTAGCCATATACATATGTAGCAGCGATTCTAATTCTAATTCGTAGACAAGAGACAATTCACTAGGCAAGAACAACATTTCCGTTTCCGGTTTACAGTTCAAACTTGCTACTAAAACAACAATATATATAAATATATAAAAATCATATGCTACTCAAGAAGCAAGATAATTATCTAATGAATGCATAAGTATAAAACCTTTTTCAAAGTCCATATTAAGTAGTATTTAGAATTTTACAAAACAAATCGTGTAGAGTTTATTAAACAATTTGCCAAACTTGACGACGGGCCGGAAATATAAGAATTCTAAATTCGGAAAACTTTCAATCTTCGCACGCTTTGCGAATGCGCTTTAGAAACGGAAAACCTAGTAGGCCCACAAAACGAAAGCAAAAATGTTAAAAAAAAACCCCAATGAAGAACATACGCGAAAAAAGACATTTCCAGTAGTTCTTAGAGATATAATAATAAATGAAAGGATAGGCTAGTGTGAAGTTTCGATCGTTGTTTAAATCGGCAGATCCAGATGCAGATGAAGATGCCATGTATTTTCCCTTTTGGCCGCCCCTGAACGCTTCGATTTGGTGGGGTTCCCAATTTCGCCTAGTTCCCTTAGTGGGTCAAATTCAGTTTCCCAGGTCCCTTCAATGAAGCGTCCAGGGTCCCAAGTCGAGTGTTTGTCGTTGAATATTGTCAATCATCATTTGGTGTTGATGATATCTTAGCCACAAACATGCCAAATTTGGAAAATAGTGAACTCGAAATGAATTCGAAAACGAAACATTGTGTATATTTTGTTGTTGTACATTTCATTGACGATCTTTTGTACATTTAGTTATAGTTCAAAACTAATTTACACACCAAAAAGCAAGTGTTATCGATTTTTAAGTGTAAGGAAATTGTTAGAGCCGTATAAGCAGATAGAAAAGGCGTTTCCACAAATATAAACAAGGAACGCAGTAAATAAAAGCAAAAATGATGATAAGGTATTGATGTTTTTGTTGAGATTTAGTTTAATTTTGGCGGGATTGTTTTCCAGGTAAATCAATGGCAAAGGTACTTCTTGTTGTTGAATATTATCACATTTTTACAAGGTATAAATTCAAATATAACCGCCATTGTTTTTTGACATTCACATGACGCCGTATGTTTACACAGTACATTTATGCAATAATGTGACCAAGCTTTTTATTGAAAACACAGTTCAACAGCTGTTTCTCAATAGGGATCTTGTGATATGTTTATGTTTGAAACGTGTTTTTGGTCGGTAAAATAAAATAAAAAAACCTATAAGAAATGGAAATTAGAAACAACGATCCCGGTGCTGTCCAATATGGAAACTTCATGAACTATTATCAATTTAATTCCGCCTCGGAACGTGTGAAATTATTGCCGGATGCGGATATATGGTTATCTCCTTTGGATGATAGAGAATCTTCCAACAAAGGGCCTTATTATGTCATGGATGTGGGTTGCAATTGCGGAGTATTCACCCAACTCTTGCACAAGTACCTGGAAGAACGTCTTCAGAGATGTGTAAAAATCTTTGGCGTGGATATAGACGATCGTCTGATTCAACGCGCAAAAAGTGAAAATGAAGATCCGAAAAACATAAGCTACGCCTGCGTGGATGTCCTAGACGATAATGCCTTTGAATCTGTTAAAGCTTATCTGAAAATTCATAGTCGCCAGAAATTCGATGCCATTTGCTGTTACTCAATTACTATGTGGATCCATCTAAATCATCATGACCAAGGATTGCAACTATTTCTGAAAAAGCTCGGCAATCTGGCAGAGCTCCTGGTAGTGGAGCCACAGCCTTGGAAGTGCTATCAAACTGCACAGAGACGTCTAAAGAAAGCTGGAGAAGATTTTCCCCTATTCCTAGAACTTAAATGGCGATCTGATGTAGATCTCCAGATAGAAAATTACCTGGAAAAGACACTCGACCGAAGAAAGATATTCGAGTCCACTCCCACTAAATGGCAGCGAAAGATATGCTTCTATAGAGGATTAGTTAATGTGGAAACTGTATGGAAAGAACGAATTATTTGTTGGCTAAATCAGTTCCTGGATAATAATCAGGGAACGATTTTTTCTTATGTTTTCATTCCTATCTTAATGTCACTATACACGCTTTATTGTATTTATCTTTAAAATATAACTGTTATTCAAAATAGATGAATATCTTTTGAAAACTTTTATAGGAAACAACAATAATGAAAATTCCAAAAGTAACATCTGTGGACAATTTCAAACTAATCAACGTTGAGCTTTCTAAAGGAGCCCTCAGTTCCAAAGAGACCATCAAAATCGATGGGGTTTCCAGGACGCAGGCTTTCGTCAGTGCCGTAGTTGATATTATCTTTGAAGAAGTCATTATACTCATCCAACTTCTTCTCCCAAGCCGCCACAATTTCCGGCACCGTGCCATTCTCACCGCCATATTCCACAGGCAAATATTTCAGAGGAATCTGCTCCGTTAACAGCTCCATTTTGTTACCATGCACATAGAGACGCGACTGCATCTTCTTGGACATCATTGGCTTAAACATGTTAAATATCTGTTCGAATCCGGTGATGGTATTGATAAAGTGCTGCGCCTTCATACGCAACGGGATAGCCTCCTCGGAAAACACAGTAAATTTCTTGGCCATCGAAGGCGTCATCTGGAACAAGTGCCCAGCCGTAGCTCCCTTCATGTCCATGATAAAAACTACTCCATTAACATTAGCGTAGTCATCCTCTAAGATGGCAATCTCCTGCATTGCCTGGGCCACTTGCATGCACTCTAGGATGTGATACTTTTCCACCGGACACAGTCCCATGCGCCAGATTCCGATGCGAGGTCCATTTTCGAACAAAGGAGTAGGTGGATAGATGATCGCCCTGTTTAAAATCATTAATAATTGCAATTCCTCACACTTTTTTTTTATATTCCTCACCCTGTTCGGTGAATCTCCCTGAACTTTCCCTCCGTTGTGCTGGTAACCCTAAAGTATTCTGGATACTTGGTCTTCAGCGTGTAGAACTTATCTAACTTGGACTTAGCCCGCTCCAAACTGTACTTGCAGCCACGCAGAAAGGCCACTAGAAACTGATCATCCATTCGAGGATTGAGATGGGGTTGCTGCTCGATCCAGGTCCTGAAAGCCAGCAGATCAGCCTCCAGACGATCAGGATCCTCCTTTAGCTGCTCCTTAGCTGCTTTTTGCAAGTCAGGCGTGAGTGGGCGGATTTGGGGTGCCATTTCTTTAGTTTTCGATTAAGAGAAGTAGAAGTGAACTGCTCAGCGTTTCTTGGGGCACTACCTGCCCAATCTACGTTCTATTGATGGCCGATTTTTACAGGGCTTTATCAATTACCTGATAAGCGTTCAATTGGGAAGCCATAAACTAAACAAAGACAAACACTGTGCAAAATGCTGTGATAAGCAAGTCATTTCATAAGAAATACTTCAATTTAAATTAGCCATAGATCGGGGGTTCCACGATTGGTTTTAAAATACATAGTGAGCTTTATTGGGGTTTACTTCTGGAAGGGATAGTAGTCCAATCCAGAGTTGTAATTGTACTTCTTCTTTTGCTTTTTCTGGGCTGCCGCGACGATCTCCTGGACATCCTTACGGTAAGCGGGCGGCAACATCTCTTCATGTAGCGTGCAGGGTTTCACTTCGGGTTCCTCAACCTTAAAGATATAGCGACGGACGATGTCAATATCTCGACCGAATTCCTCTTTCAAGTCTGCTATCCTCGTGGGCGCCGTATCAAAAGCGATGGTGAAGTGTGTACCTTCCCGGTGAACCACTCCATGTTCACTGACTTTGTAGGGGAGAGCACGGGTACCCAGGTTCTCCAGTTTCCTGATAACACCTCCTTTATCAAGGATGGATTCTGCCGTCCGCTTTATTACGGATATGAGCTCAGGCTGCGGGAGAACAGAAATAAGTTATTGACTTTTATGTAACTGCCGGTGGAATTCATGTGCTACTCACGCGAGTCAGTTGACGCAGCACCAGTGCTAATTCGTATGAAGGCATTGTGGTTGGTGGGTTTTGGGTGCTTTTAAGCTTTTTAATATTTAAAGCCTTTTATCAGGAGTTTTAATTCATTAAAGTGAAGGCAAAATTAAAGTAGTTGTTGACCCACCAGCAACTCAACAGCTGTTTTAACAGAATATGTATGCACTAACGCCTGGAAAATAAGAGCACACTGAACAGTGGTTGAAAAGCTGTACTTTTTGGAAAATAATTTTTGGGAATGGCCAACCAATAAAACGAGATATAATTTTGGCTTACCGTAAACAAAGTTTAATTTTGTTTTGTGTTCAATATGTTGTAATTTTTTATTACTTATATTGAAAAAATATTTAACAAATTCATGAAACTTAACATAAAAGCAAACTCGGTTTAAGTCCCAGCTAATTTCAAACGACGGTTTGAATTAATATGCCTTGCCTGGGCACACTGTTTTGTCGGATGCTATTATTCTGAAACCACACCCTGGTCACACAGTTTTTAATGCCGAAGTGAAAACAACGAGCGGATCTTTCCGAGCGGATAAAATTGTTTTTTCGCACGCCAAAAAGGAGAAACAAATGCTTGCGTTGTGTGAGTGCGGGTGTTCCGAGAGTGTTGTGTGTGTGCTTTAGAGTGTTTGTGTGCAAATGTCGCCCGAATTATGACGCATACGAAAGTGCAGGCGCAAAATAAAACCCAAATTTAAAGAAGTTGCAACTGCAGATGCAGAAAATAAGTAACCAAAAAAAACGGTGGCATAAGAAGAAGAGGTAGAGTGCGTGCACTCGGCAGTTGTGTTTAGTGGTGTGCGTATGTGCAAAATTATGTAAATACAACAATAGTAGAATTCCAATTGTCCTCTCTTTTTCTCAATTATGAAATGCAGTTGCACTCGTACTCTCAGTCCGTCTCTATCCCTCTCTCTCTCTCTCTTTGCGCAGCGAAATGCCAGTGCATAGAATTTTCTTATTTTGAAGTTGGAACCGTGAAACTCCCCAAAAAGAATCAGCTCTCATTAGTTATAATTTCATTTACCTTTTTTCCTACCTGCCGCTGCAACTGACACGTCTGCATTGCCACTCTTTTTTACATGCTTTCTTACCTGCCCAACCACCGAAAAAAAGAAACAAAATGAAATATATATGACTCGAATTGCTCTCTTTCATAGAAAATTAAACATCGCGTCGCGCAACACTGAAAAACAAAAACAAGAAAAATAAAACGAAAAATGAAAACGAAAAAGCAACAATAAAATTAATTAACCTTTGCGGGAAAATATAATAAAAACGCATAAAAGTTCTCATCTCTTACTTTTCTCCATCGCTTTCTCCCTCTCTTGTCTTCCTTTTTCCTCATCGTCTGTGGATTACATTATCTTCTGTGGATTATTATTATAACAACAACAACAACAACAAATACAGTGGCAAGCGGATCGAGCAGAAGTAGCAGCAGCAACAAACTGGCCGAATCGGAAAACGCAGCGCAAAACTCCAGCAACATGAGTTGGGGCACCGAGCTATGGGTAAGTTTTCCATCTTGTTCTTGTAGGGATTATTATGAACTTATCTAATTAGATGAGGAATATATATTGGGAAACACAAAATATGGTGAATTTCTATGTTTTTATGATAAAATGTACATTTAAACGTAGAAAATTTCTATTATTGTCGAAAGAATCCAAAGATCTAGTCTCTAAATTTAAATTTTTTAAACTATAATCCATTTAAAATTGTCAAAACTAATTAAAAATCAACAGAAATATAATTCTAATTGACCAATAAAACATTTTTTGGTTCACCAGCAATTCGAAAATCAAATCATTTCTGAAATATTTTCGAAATACTTGAAATTAAGCTCGCGAATTCCCATTTTTAAACCACCTCGCACCTATTTCTTGTTAGAAAACCCTATATTTTCTAATTGGATACCCAATCTCTGGGCGAACTTAACCGTGTCAATTAATTTATATTTCAATGTCATCAGTTACCCATAGGAAATACACAACAAATGCTCGAGCAGTGAGAATTTAACAAATTGCTTCCCATAAGCCAAAGTGCAGGCAAATGTTTTAAGAACGCGCGCTTATGGCTACCGTCTCTTTCTGCCCCGGCATTGCCATCTCTTTCTGTCTACCCACCAAGCTGGAACTTGAAACTTAGTAAAAAAAAAAAAACTGGTTTTGCGGGTTTTATGTAAATTGCTGCCATATGAGCACGGCCAGAAGCAGCGTGCGCCTCAGAGAAAAATATATATGTATTTCTCGGATATATCGTTGATTTCTTGTTGTTTTTATTTTCCTCGTAGTTTGTGTTCTGTTTCGGCGGAGGCACCACCACATTCCACATCGATCCATCGGATTCCCAGTACCGGGTCTCCACATTATTATTATTATTTTGTTATTTTTTTCCGCTCTGTCTATGAGTATTCTCCGCCTCACAGCTGTTTTTTCTACAGTTTTTTGTTGTTATTTCGTTTTGGCCAGGGCGTTGACACGCCCAGCTAAAGCTTACCTGTCTCTACAGGGATTTTAAAATGCACATCTGTACATATATAATAAAAGCGATTTTTTAGCTTGCCTCAGCTGCTTGTTTCCGCCTATTTAGCCCGATTTAGTTTTTGCTGATTTCAATTCAATTCGGATATTCGGATATCGATGGGTTTTATATGCCGCCTTCCGCCTTTTTGGGGGTAGTTTTCTTTCATCAGACAGCAGCCGGCACACCCTCAAAATGTGCGGTGGTGTGCGTGTGCTTGTAGGTGTGCGTCAGTTTGTGTGCCTGCGAGTGGAAAATTCGCCTCGACTGAAGAGGAGGTTCCCCGATGTCAGGACCAAAATTGCACGTCTAGACAACGTTTTGCAATCTATTTGCACTTTTTTTCGTATATAGTTTTTCTCTCTTTTTCAGCTGTGGGGATTTAGCCAGTGGCAGCTGGTAGTTTTAGGCTCGGAAAAGCTTACTAAGTGTTTGTCCAGCGGATTTGCATAAGGCGCAAAGGGAAATGAAAAACAGCCAGGAACTAATAAAATGCAGGAAGTAGAAAAGGAAAATGTAGTAGAAAAAGCTGTAAATTTATGAACTTACAACGTTTCCTACATATTTAAAAATCTTTTTACGTTAAATTTAAGAAATATGGTTATATAAACTCACTTAACACGAATATAATAATCCTCAGAACCAGGCCAATTAGGAATGTAAACAAATTTTAGATAGGTTCTTACAAAACTTTATATGAGAAAAAAGTAATACGACAAATTCTCAAGAAAATAAAATAAACAAATTCTTCTCATGTTTTATGACCAATTCGACATTGTTAGAGTTTTTGCTTTATTCTCGACTTCACGACTTTGTTTAGTGAGTCATTTTAGTGGTAGAAATCCAGTTTTTGGCAACCCCTTCGCACATTTTCCTCCTCTGCCCATGCAGACTCAATCACGAAGCATTGTGTAGCTTAGCGAAAAGCAGTGGCAAAATGAACATTATTATATGCCTTAAATATGTATTTTTAACATTTGCATAAATGATTGGCACGCCATACATAAAAAGTAATACTCGATATGCCACTTAACCCAAAGAAAGTGTAACCAGAAAGATTTCGGTTAATTGAATTTGTGCATGGAAAGCGAAGCGGACAAAATTAATATCAGAAAAAAAAAACTGAGTAATAATAATATTGTACACTTTTAATGCAAAATCATAGACTCCCCGCTTGTCCATTTTCTTGGCTAATAACAACGTCGATCGAGCGCGTGGCTAAGCGGGTCAATTGTGGGGCCTGAAAAAGCCAACAAGCGCCAGTCGTCGTCGGATAATGCCATACCAAAAAAAAAATGAAGAAAAAAACTTTCTTTGCATTTTTCGTTGCCCGTTTTTTTTTTTATGTACAAGATTTTCACTTTAATTAAATTTAAAGCATGCGCCAGCCACGGCGGCTCGTTGCTTGGCATATGCAAAAAAAAATACCAAAAAATTTTATGAATTAAAAAGTTGGGTGCCCACAAAAACTTGGTTAAATAAAATCACTTTTTGTTAAGTATTTATTTCGACATTTGAATTTGATGGGAATTTCTTTTTTGGGAAAACACCCCGCCCACATATATCTCTACTTTTCCTGCCTCTCTCTCACTCTTTTTCTCTCGGTTTTGCTTGCGTCTGAAGAGTGGTCCTAAAAATAGTCTGTGTTTTTGTAATTTCAAATTGCGTCGGGTCTAGACGAAAGTATATTGAATTAAAGATGATTTTGGTGCCAGAAAATTTGGTAGAGATTATAAAATCAAGTCATATAGAGTGGAGTATAAATTAAATATAATAATTGAAGCCCAAAAAAAAAGGAAAAAAATTTTAAATATTTAAAAACTGATTCATATCTTAGTTTTTGACATGCCCTTTGAATCAGTCATAGAAAATACTTTAAGAATAAATTTTAATATATAAAAAAACTTTAAATAGTGATTAAACTTATCCAAGTTCAGAATACAAATATTAGTCATCATTTTGATTTATTGAAACAAACAAATAATGATTTTTTAGAGCACTTAATTGCAAGTTCTGTTAAACTGAGTGACTTTATTCTAACTTATCTATCCTTAAATTTGTTGTCTCCGTTAATAATTTGTCTTCATTTAAGTGTAGTGCTTTGTCATAGTCCATTTAATCAGCTGGCTTGCCTAGAGCAGAGCACTTTATGCAGTATCTGAGAAACTGATGACTGACCGACCGGCTCTTCTCCAGCTCATTTTTCCAACCATCCCCACCGGTTCCTCAGTTCCAGACCTCGGTTTTCTACACTTGGCGTTCAATGCCATCAAGTCGAGTGCAGCTGTTTAATGTTGTCGAGCACTGTGTAAATAATTTTCATGCAATTTGCTCCGCTGCTGCTGATGATCGTTTTTGATCAGTTTTCACATGACATTGAAAGGTCTGAAAAAACAAAAACAAAATAAAACCAAAACATTCACCGAAAGACCAAGACGTTCACCCAAGCAATTAGCAAAAAAGTATGTATCGAATTGGGGAACGACTTTAGGTTCGGTTGCCCCAACTTGTTGAACGGCTAAAAATATGGCCAGAGACAGACAGGCAAACCATAAAGCATTTTTTTATGTGTCCGGGGTGTGGACATACTGTTGTAAGGAACTGTTTGCTTGTACGCTTCATAAAAAACCGAGGAAATAAAGTCGAAGCTCATATATCTTTTCGCAGCAGGTTTTCTTGGAACATATAGGGGGAGGACCTGGGGATGAATGCTTTTCTATTTCTAACGTGTCCGCCATTATTGAAATTCTATCACCAGAAGGCCACCCTCTTTAAGAATGCACTTGGTTTTCTTTTGCTCCCCATATAAGAGATCTCCTTGGGCACAATTCCAATTAAGCGAGGGCAAGTGTCAGGGCCAGGACATCCCCGGAAATGGGGTGGACTCTGGCTCAAGGCCATGCTCTGCTCCTTGGATCTCCTTCACTTGTTCGTTCTCATCCTTGTCCTGCGTGCAAAACGCACCACCATATCTGAAAATCTCAATCTGCATCAACCTCTTCTCCTTATCCATATCGATTTTTTTTCCTTTCGACTTATCCTTCTTGTCCAACATGTCCCCCGATTGCTATCAAAATAGTTTTTGGCTTACTCAAGGGAATTTTCCAAGTTCGCGCTCGCCACAGGGGGTTGCAAAAACATTTTCGCTGATTTTTATTGCAACCGGATGGCGAGATGCGAACTCATCCGAATTTGGCGACTGAAAAGCTGACTAGGGGGAAATTTATTTGCCAAGTCGTTAGGGTTCTAAGTAAGGGGCTAATGTGCAACCAATTGTCAAGTATGGCGTGGAAAATGATTTAAACTTTGAAAGATTCTCTAGTACTTATTAAGATTTTGATACAGAACTAAGTACTACGTTCTTTCTACATATGTAACTTAGAACGCATTACCTATTTCTAGTATCTATACTATTTTTGGCAGCGCTAATATCTGAACATTCCATAAAATATATCTCACCATCTATATCCTTCTTCTTTGTCAGCCGTGCAACTCTCGCCATGATTACAAATTCTATTCACATCGTCATCGGGCAGTGCATTGTAAAAATATTACTTTTTGTTTGCATTTTTGCATTTTGCACGTTTTGGCTCGCGTTGCCATTATTTTTTTGTCTTGGCGTCTATTGATTTCAGTAGCCTTCAGCCAGTTTGCGCTGCATGCATACTAAATAGCCGTAAGATACATTTGCCAATGCTGGCAGAAAACCTTTTAAAATGCAAATTGCAACCGTTGAAGTTTGAAATAAAAATCGGTTGCGGCGCCTGCGGTGACCAACTTGAAATGTGGGATTTTGGCCCACATGAGAGTAATTATTTACATGGAATATTATGCCATATTTCTAGTTGAAAACATTTCAAAGATAAGCTCCAAATTCTTCGACGATAAATATATATATATGTTACGCACTCACTTCCTTTTCTCTAAAGCCTCCGCTCTGATAAGTTGACCAACTTAAGCATAGTTTCTCCCTGGAAAGCGATAAGTG